GTTCTCAGACCCCCAAGCAGATGAAACCCATCCCCCGCGGCCCTCCGGCTTGCACTGAGATTCCTGGAGCTCAGCCCTGTCCAGCGGAGAGGAGCCACCTTGGCAGGGCCGGGGAGTTCAGACGCTCGGCGGAGAGGAGCCAGGGCTTCAGCTTTTGTCTGTTAAAAGCTAGAAGGAGAATACAGGGACTGCTGGCTTCCCCGGCCACAAGCCCCTTCCTCGCCGTGCTCGCATCCGGAGCAGGGAATTGGCCGGTTAGGGGATCGGTTAGGCTAGAATAGAGAGGCCAGGGAAATAAAGCCGCCAGCTATGCTGCCCTGTTGGGCCACAGCCAACAGGTGCAGTGTCCCCTTCCCCCACGGCCGCTGGCTCCGCTGCCCCCAAGATGCCGGGTCTGGGAAGAAATTCTCCAGGCGAGCCGCAAATCATCTGTGTGAAACAGCAGCCGAGTGTAGGAGCCTCGGTTCCCCGGGACGCAGGCTTAGTCCTGGGCGTACGGTCATGCTGGCGGATGGAGACGCGGCATCTCTGCTTTCTCTCCTTCCCATCAGGGCTTTTTCAAGAGGACTGTGCAAAACAACAAGCACTACACCTGCACCGAGAGCCAGAACTGCAAAATCGACAAGACCCAGCGGAAGAGGTGCCCGTACTGTCGCTTCCAGAAGTGCTTGACGGTGGGAATGCGACTAGAAGGTAAGAACCCCGGTCTGCCGCACGCCACTTACCGCCGAGGGCTCTGGGGGAAGCCGGGAGGGCTTGTCAGTTGCACGGGTGTGGTGTGAGTGGTCAGGAGAAGGGGTCCCTGGTCCAGGGATGTGTCTTCTCCCACTGAGATCACCGGGACTCAAGGGCATCCCATACACAGGATCAGGCCCAAGCTGGCTCAGACAGCCGCATCTAGCAAAAGCAATGATTCCTTCCTCCAGTGTGCTGGAATTGTAGGTTATTCGTTTCCTTTGAATTAAATATGATTGGGGTTTGGTCAGTGGAGCCGTTTCTTTGTGGGCAATATTTTAGGTTAGGAGACAGTCCGGCACAGCTGTGCCTGGGAATTAAGCAATGACCTCAGAATTAAAAGCAGCCTTTGGTTTTCACTGTAGTATCATCATTCTAAGTAAACTCTCCGTTCAGGGCTAGGGGGTTTGTTTTTTATTATTATTATTATTATTATTAATATTACCACTATTATTTTTATTTTATTATTATTTACTTCATCAGTCTCCAAGATACAGCAGAGCCAACCCCTAGTATTAAAAATTATGGATCAGGCCCTCCCTAAATCAGGACATTAAAAAAAAATAATAGAGGTGGGTTCTTTTGATTTGCCTTCCGGTTTTTCAGAATTTAGGGTTCACATTTCCAAGATTTGCTTTGCAAGCGAGAGAACGTTCCGGTGTTTGTTTGCTTATTAAATGAAAGCCGAGATTTCCCGAGTTTTGCATAATGCCCAGAGCCGAGGTTTAAGAAAAACACGGAGGATCGTGAGAATCAGGATAAAATGGCAGGCGGCGACAGTGAGAATGTATTTTTTTCTTTTGCCACGTTCACTGTAACAGGAATTTCTCCTCCTGCAAGAGACCCTCAGTAACACGGGGCCTCTCTCAATTTTACATTGGGGTCATTCTACCAGTGTCGGCCTTGATTTATGCTGCTGTGGCTAATAGAGAACCAGGCCATGTTGTTCTTCTGTATTGTGATGCTATTTACGTGGCACTTACCCGTTGATGTTGCAGAACGTCACAATGCATACAGGGCTTAGGACCAGAAAAACAATCACAAACACTGGGTAACAACAACAACAACAACGATAATTATAAAAGATTAAATTGGAGATGAAGTCAAACGATCTGGGTAGATAGGCTACATCTACGCTGCAACGCGACCCGAGAATCCCGAAATAGCTACCGTGTGTCTTCACAGTAAGCCCGTTATTTCGGGCTTCCTATTCCGACGTCCCTGTAAAGCTCATGCCATGAGGGACGTTTGGGCAGAGCGGGTTATTTCGAAATTTGGCGCCAAATGGCAAAAGTAGCTATTTTGAAATAGCATCGAAATAAGACCCGCAACGTGGCTCAAACTGCGTCTCTGCTTTCGAGTTCCAGTGCAGCGTAGACGCCCCCGCAGTGCCGGGGCGACTGGAATATCTCTGACCTGTTCCGGGCTGCGGGACTCGGGGCTCCCTTGACATGGGGATGAAGGGCAAAGTTGGGGCGTGGATGCAGAGTCCTGCTTATACCGGAAAAGAAACTCAAATCTTATTCTGCCGCAGGCAGGTGGCAGACGGGTCGGGAGGCGGACGAGTTCAGAGCAGGGCAGAGCATTTCATGCCCAAGGCAGCCAGAGCAAACTCCCACTACGGTGGGGTGCGGGGCCAAGGGTCTTTCCATTTCCAATCCGATCTGAGCCTTAGCCCTGGGGCTGGAGTACTGGGCACAAACCGTTCCTGAGCCAGCTGCCCGGCTTACTTGGGGCCAGGGCTCTCATGGGCTGAGCCCGGCCCTCCCTGGGCCTGGCCGTTCAGAGCTTCAGCGCCTCTGGGCTTGCTGCAGCAGTTGTGCATGTTAAAACATTGCTTGGGCCCCAATGAAGGGCTGGCCCTGGGGCGTTGCTAGATCCCTGGCACATGGAGTCACTCGCTCCAGTGCTCCGTCTCGGAACGCTGCGAACAGCTGGGCAAGGGAGCGAGGCGAAGGGAGGGCCCGCTGGCTGTCTCCAGGAATCGGCTCTGTCCCTGTGTGTGCATGGATGTGGGACGCCCTGAAATCAGGGTCCCGCTGGGAGCTGCGGCCGCCTGCCTGGGAGGTGCTTCCCTTGCTCCCGGCAGGGTTGAGCGCGCTCCTGTGCGTGTGAGCAAAGCCGGGTATTTGCTGCGTGTCTCTTCGAAGCCGCCTGCCCCCTCCCTCGGAGCTGCTTGATGAGATTCTGCAGTAGCTTATCCACCAGGGGTCACCCAGAGGGAAAATGACATCCCAACTTGACTGGCTTGTCTTTTGTGGTGAAAATTGGAGCGTACCTTTTCTTCGTTATTAGTATTTACTGGGCAGAAAATCTGAACTGACACTTCTAAAGAGATCCTTCAGCTCAGTAGGACAAAAGCAAGCCTGAAAGTATCGATTTGGGGGACAAGTACGATGTTGACACCGGCCTCTCTCGATGCTCAAGAAAGGAAGCTGCCGAGAAGTCTGGACTGTGTGAACGACTCAGCCTCGGCTGCCTAGACGGATCGGGCGGCTCACCTGGGTGCCCGGCAGGACGGCCACGAGAGAGCCGGCGTGCCGTCTAGGGGGCTGCGGGCGTTGGCGGAGTGCCGGTGTTTTGTGCACAGCACGGCACGGAACCGAGGCGGCCCCCGCGAGCGGAACTGCCCCGGGCAGGCTCACTCAGGGGAGCCCGTTTCCCGGGCAATGCGCCCCGAGTGGACTGCAGAGTCGCCCGTGCCGCAGAGGGGCGGAGACACTGCATGGGGCAGGCCAGGGGCCAGAGGGAAGGCGGAGGCCCAGTGGAGAAGGGACGGAGAAGAGGGGTGGGATGGGGGGTGGAGCGGGCCCACGGGCGAGTTTTAACAAGAGAAGGGGCCGTGTTAAAGCCGCCCCTGAGAAGCGCAGGGGGGG